CTCTTCATTGAGTGAACCAGCTCGGAGTTATGTTTGAAGCGTGAATACATCTAATATCTACCATTTTTTAATTTCTCTAGATACATTTTAAATCATACAAATCCACAAAAAAAAATCCGCAAAAAACTTTCTACCCCAAAATCTTACAGATCAATATCCCTTATCCTACATCCCCCTTTTCAGTGATACGGTGGCCGAACGAATCTCGCGTAAATCAAACAGCAGTAACGGCTGAGAAATGATAGGACTACAAATAATATATCGAAAGTTATATCCGACAGAACTTAAAAATCTTAGAGAAGGCTACAGAAGTGCCTCGGTCGGCCATGGAGATTTATGGGGCACATGGGGTGAAAGGGGATAAACGAATGAAGAATTGGGGGTGGCTAGATTGGATACTAGGAGTATTATATTGAAGGAGAAATATAGATTCAAATATGAAGAAAGTTACTTCCTTAAGCATATCGTCGGTCTCCGCACGTACAGGAGTAAATGATAAATAATCTAAAATCGAGTTACGCCGTAAGTTCACATATTTTTTTGTAGTCTCTCACTTCATGAAATGACGTAGCTGTATATCGGTTCGCTGCTAAGGAATAAAATTTTCAGAAAACTGCGTAAGTTGTAAAATTCCGAAAAAAATTTTCACGGACCTGCTTAAATAGGTTTACGCATCTGCGTTAAAATTGGTTCATTTTAGTCTAACAAAAAAAAAACAGCAACGTGCAGACTAAAAAATCAGTATGTCATTTTCAATCTCATTTATTGCTGATTTTCGTTTACTAGCTCTCCTGTAAAATTTGTAAAATATTACTTACGCCGGTACGTGCGGAGACCGACGATATGATCGACAAAGAAATTATTTAAGATCAACGAAAATAGACAACTAAATGATAAAATTCGAGGTTCGTAAAAAAAATCAATATTTACCTTTCTAAAAGTAATGTAATGTTTTCGCGTTTTCTGAACGTATATTATGACATTTTCTCTCAAAACAGAATGATAGTGATATGTCCCTACGTCTGCTGTCTAGCCTAATTGGCTGCATCGTGGTATTGTGGAGAGGAGAGGAGAATATTGTATATGGACTAATTGTATGGACCTGTTTGACGAACTTGATCCATCCAAATCGCTTTAAACTAGAGTAATGTCAAACTTTCCTTAGGGGTCTGGTAAAGCAAAGTTTAAGTTTAAATTTCGATACTTGGCGACTTTACAAATAATATTTTTTATCTGAGTCTTTAAGTATTTGTAATCAATTTTTTGGGTTAATGAAAGTGTTTTTTGTTCGGAATATTCCAAAACACCTGCAAAAAATTGTCCGCGCAAATATATAATTTATTTAAAACAATTGCTTAAACTAATTTGATCTGGGTTAACGTGCTGGTATATTCATTGCTAAAAAACTCGGTTCAAAATTGTAATTGTTGAGGTCGCAAAGTATCTAAATCTAAGGTAAAACATTGCTCTACAAGACCTTGCAGACTATTTTGAAATGAGTTTAGATACGTTAAAACGATTTCAACTTTGTTTTTCCAGACGAAAATTGGCAACTTTTGGTTTACGCAGACTGTACCTAAACTGGAACTGATCCGAATTTGATCAACTCCAGTGTAAAGAAATTTGCAGATTTAAAGTTACTGTCGTGCATATGTTACTAAAGTTGCTCATTAAAGAGTTATTTATTCATCTTTACAATTGGACTGCATTAGGAGAACACAAAGTAAAATAATTATCCATGGGAAATAGTGGCGTGAAGAACTAACCCAAATAAATTATCAGTATGTAATAAAATGTAACATGGCGTGAGTCTTAAGGATCTGTACGAATATGTTTGTACTTGACATTGACACAATTCGGCCGAATTATTTTACAGCTTCTTAGCCAATCGACCGTTTTACTGAATTATTGCAATAGGCGATCTCGTGTTTGTCGTCAGCGGAAACTTGCACTGGGTATTTCGCGGGTGTAAAACTACTGTTATGGCTATTCTGTACTGATGAGTGAGTCAACGAACAGTCGACCGTGGTTCTCCCGACATTGGGCCAGGCGCCTGATTCTATCAGGATTTCGACTCCTGAAATTAATTTCGATGTCGTCCTGCCATCATACATATCATCTTCTATTATAATTTTGACACTGCCGTAATTCCGAAACATAAATTAGTTACTTGTCAAAATTATCAAGTGGAATTATATTTTCTAAACGAATGTCAATATTTAAGTGGTAAATTTTTGGGTTGATTTTAAGAAGAAAACTTTATTTTAACGTATGTTCCAAACGTCCTAACTTTCGAGATACATAGTGATTAAGTTTTCAAAAATTAGTCAGTGGCACGCAAATTACTTTTCTTGAAATAAAAAAATTCACAACTGTATTTTTTTAGCCTTAACTTAAACTTAAAAAACTATATTTCTCTACATGGTAATATTGTTTATTAACGATATTGTGGTGCTCATGCAGAGAAACGTTTTTTATTTTTTATGCAAAAACTTGCGGATTGGAAAAAGCGACTAAATTTTCTTAGAAATGATTGGGGACTTAAAGAATAATTTTAATTTCGGAGAAATTAGTGGCGTACTAGTAATGTGTGACAAAGTAAGTAGGTGAAACGCCGTACGAATGCTACCGATGGAATTTAGAAATACATACATTAAAAAATGTGTCTTGATACATAGTAGATATATGCTAAACCTTATTAAAATATCAGTGGTTTTACAGATCGTGATAACAAATGATACTTTAAACTTTATCACCCTGTATCTCAAAAGTTAAGACGTTAAGGGCAAATCTCATCATCTTCTTAAAATGATAATAACAATAGCCCCCTCACATATTGACATTCAGTCAGGAACACCCTGTATATGGCGGCAAGGTGACACCGAAGCTAATTTCAAGAGTCGAAATTCAGTAAGAATGAGGGCCAAGTTTGAGCAAAACCACGGATCTTAAAACCGGGCTTGAATGATTCATACTTATCCGTTCTAATAAAGGCAGGTCAGATGTTATGCGAAGCGAGTTTTTTAAATGTAGCCGGAAAAAGATTTATCATTATAATAACTACATAATAACGTCTATGGTGCGTATTTTATGGAGTTTTTTCCCGGCGGAGTCCGATTCACTTAACTGCTTGCAAATGGATTTATTGCCCTCTTTATTTGTAGCTTAAGGGGTTGCTACGATGTTTTTACATGCTGTATTTTTCAAGAATCATAATCACAGTCGGCTGGGGGTTGTCCGTCAGAGGTTGAATAACGAATGGGTGATTGAGCTGAGTAAATACAAAGCGGCTTGAAAAAACATAATTGCATAATTATAGCAATAAAGAACTTGTAAAATGAAGTTAGTTTACGGTTAGTATTTTAAAAATGCTGACACGACTTCGTTAGTATACTCAGATGGTTTTTTGGGAAGTTTCTCTGCGCTGGGTATGTTTGCTATTCGTATTAGGATTTTTTGCATAATCATTTCTAAAAAGGGCTACTCCTAGCGAATCTGTATGTTACCAGGACCAAATGTGCGTCGAACATTTTTTTAAACAAATTCCAAAATTGGTTTTTTTGCTTCGGTGGTTTTAGGTTTTTTTGGGGCATACTTTGGAATTTTTCTCTGAAGCTATTAGATATTAATCAAGCACGCGCGCAAAGGTTCTCCCTCGCGGCTGGCGACCATCCCTATATGTTACATCTCTCTTGCACTCACGCGGAGCAACACTGAGCGCGATTAACAATTGAAAAACAAAGGTTTACAATAACAATACGAACTGAAATGTTTTGCTATTTTATTAATAGCTGTTTGAAGAATACTTAGGCACATTGGCAATATTTCACCCCTCGAACGTCAAACACGCAGTTCCATGCATTTCTCAACCAAATAGAAAAAATGTACAGGTTTCAAATAAATCAAAATTCGTTAGGTGAAAAACGCAAGAAACTACATTTTTGACAATCCTCCGTGTTTGTCTGATATTCAAAGGGTGAAACCAATCTTTTCAACGAGCCTCAAGACAAGACCTCACAGCTACCAAAAAAGCAACAATGATGCAAAAAACTGCATTTTTGACTTTAAAATTCAAAAGATGAAATCATCCCTTTCGACAGGTCCGAAGAAGCTGAGACCTATCTGATCGTTATTTTTGAATACCTGTGATATATTATGTTACCGTTACTTTTAGATATCAGTGATTTAAAACCTTGTTGTGATCATGACTTCCGAATAACGGTAAGATTTTATGGGTATACTGATATCCTCAGCAGAGTACCGCGATGAAATCGCATGGATCCAGCTATCCAAGCCTATAAGGCACGATATCACTTGCAGGACATAGTAGTCTTACAGTGGGATGCGATTATCGACCTTAGTCGTAATCCAATGATTCCATTCGACGTTCCCGTGAAGCACCACTCGAAGTCGTGATCACGCCTTTTCACGGCATTTGGTATCCGTCGTGCTTCGTGACTCAGGAATATCAGTTACTAAATCACAGTTCGTGAAATCTCTGCCACTACTACTATGTGGCAGCTCCAATTTTTCATTTATTTATAGCAGATAACAATTTTTTTGTCTAGTCGAAAAATGCAACAAAATGTATTGTTGCAGTTGACCCCTTCAACGAGTCCGAAGATACGGTCTACGTATTCTTATAGCCATTGGTAATACTGTATATTGGACAAAGGCGATATTTTAAGAAATCGATCAAAGAATGTAAATATATGCAACGCAAGCAACATTCCTGTAGACTGTATATCGACCCGCTCCTTTGGTAATGCAAATGGAAATGAGTGAAGCCCGGCTAGCAGCAATGAAATTAAAAAGACAGTGCTGGGGAAAGAAAAAACATTCCTACCATCAGTAACTTCATTAAATCGGAAACAATAAAGAGAACTGTAACGGGCCGAGTCTCGCCTGACTTGATGAGAGGGAAGCACTGAAACACAAAACGGGAATAATAAAAAGGCCCTAATCAAAGTTTACATAAAAAAGTGTGTGTTTGTTTTAAGTGAGGGATCTGGAACAGAGTGGAAAGGAGGAAAGAAGCAGCATTGCTTTTCTTGTAAATTGGCCTGTTTTTTTATTGAGCCATTCCGCTTAATTTGTTAGGTGCTTTCGTATGGCGGAAATAGCACAATAGGGTCTACTTGTGAAAAGGACATAATTCCTACGCTTGATTTCGACAGGCTCGTAATTAAGAACATTTGCGAGAATTTTTAGGGATGACTAAAGGGGTTCTGTTTATTGCTATGAAATGTTTCGTTAATATTTTTACTCTGTATTAAGAGAAAATATTGCAACTGGTAGACTTCAACATTATTATCGTAAAAGTGTCTTATCGAGAGATGTCTTGCGGAAAGGGTCATTGAGGTCATTTTATACACGGTGGACCAGTATTGCGTGGATGGAGTATTCCTTCTAGGCGGAACCTTTAAGTCTATGGATTAATTCACATCGATTCTAAGGGCACATTTTTTAAATATTTAGCAATATAGAGGATCGAACCACATACGAAAGTTGTATATTTTTAATAGAATATCTCATAACTTAAAGCTTATTCGGATAGACCGCCCGCCGACCCACTATTTTTGGAAAATAGAAAACCTCGGTTGTGTCAAAAAACTAGGGTATACAGGGTGTCCAAAAATAAAAAAAAACATTTTAAAAAATTTGTATTGGAACACGCTGTATATTTTTAGATTATTGAATTCTACTTTCTATGACATATTTCTTGATATAAAATTCAAGTAACTCTTGAGATATTACGTACCTAATTAATAAACGTTCCCCGGAAATCCATTATTGCCAAGTGTAACCAGTAGTCAGGTGTTCAACATGTCGTTGCTTTTAACCTATTATGTGTTTTGAGCGTAAAAAAGTTTTTGCGCAGTGCTGCAATTATTATTATCCCCAAATAATTTTCAAGGAAGCCTTTTGTATCTTTATATTTTCAAGAAAATGTCTCCTTTCGACAATTTCTCATCAAATTAGTTTATATAGATGTTTTTTCAAATAAATGTTTTGGTATTTAGTCGCGCAAACCGAACTCCTTTCAGTTGCCCAAATCTTTTTATTCTGTTAAAAACCCTTTTCAACTTTGAAAAGAATACTGGAAAAATAATCAATAAAAAATGGCGTCCTTTTAGGAAACCTATGCCTTTCGGAGTAAGAGGGACTGAAGAAGTCTAGAGCATAAAAAAAAGTTTACGTCTGCGCTTTTTTTCGCTAAAGATTGAAATCTATGTATCGGTTTGAAAATGCCTATACTCTTGCTTAAGAATAAAATTGGTTATTGACAAGTTTAACTAGAGGCCTGGTTTTGGAATCTATTGTTAAAATCAGGGATATGTAAGGTTTTTAGAAATAAATTTTTTTGATGATAATTTTCAACTAAAATGTATGAATGAGCAAAGTAAATTATAGTAACAGTACGACATAAACGTTGTATACATATACTTTTAACTACTTTTATAATTTTCCAAATCAATAACAAAATGGGAGTCCGCTTTTCGGCACCTTCCTTCAATAAAACATATATTTAATACCTAAAAAATCATATCACTCTCGAAAATAACCTGCATATCGTTATTTATTACGAATTCTTCCTGTGTGTGAATGCAATAGCTTGGTATTCGTTTTCCATTGAATTTGCTACGAATGAAAACCTCAATTCATCTTAACTGTGCAGATAAGAAACGGAAGATTTCACAAGACGTATTCGTGGCCATTATTATCTTTCAAAACTTCCCGCCTTCAAAAACTACGGGGCACAGTGAGAGAAATGAAGTAAATGAAATCCAGCATCGTCGGTCTACTGGATTCTGTGGAATGATCAGAGGTGTACACTCCTTTTTTCATGTTCAGGAACCAAAGAATGAATTGATGGTTGACGAATTCACTAACAAGTATTTCTAAGGTATGTTATTGCCAAAGAACAACAAAAATTTACGCTTCTATAATCGATTTTTCCAGAGATCTCGCGAGGCATATTTTTTTAAACAAATACTTTGGTTTTTCATCGAAACTGGAAAAAATAAGTTCGTCTGATATTTTGAGACAAGTCTATTCAACACAACAACGTCTTTCCGATAAAAATGTCAAAGTAGTCAAGAATCAGTTGGCGACAGATTTATTTATTCAAGTGCCCCAAAGTTGAAATTTGTCATCAATTGAAACTGAGTATTTTCCAGTCTGTATTTTGATTACATATTGATGCCCCGTCAAAAATAGGTTATTTTGAGTATTTTCACTTTTCCCTATAAAGGATAAGTGGCAGCAGAATAAGTTTTAGAATAATAATGTTTATCCAAGACGGCAGGCAAGACTTTCGGAGTCAAGTTCCCATCTTTCAGCCAACGATTCTTTTATACCCCAAGGTACATTGATGAAGGACGCCGGAAGTATCTTGGCAGCCTCTGAAGATTTTATACTCATTAATTACACGTACTAACTTTAATTAATTAAATTTAGTTAAATAGATAAAGATAATTTTCCTCAATTAATTTAAATTTATGAACGCTATTTATGCGAACTAAATTTAATTAACTACTTAAATTACCTACAGCTAATTTCAGATTAGCTGTTTCTTGATAAATATTTATATTGAACATATGTACATGCATACCTCAACTGCCGCGTTGACATTGTGGGATGAGAACTCGTCAATTACGACGGATATCTTACGATCATAGAGAAAGCTTCTCCGGGAGGCCATAGGATGGAAGTTTGTGTAAGAGCTCAGCATGCTGCAGCTGATTGAACGCTTTCATCATATCAAGAGCAACGAGAGTAGTTCATTAACTTCAAGGCTTCCTTTCTCAAGGAACGAACAAGCCTACTCATTGCACTTATTAGATCTACGAGTATGCAGGACACATTTGCATTAAACCAAAATGAGTTACAGCCTGAGTTTCTTGAGAGACGTTGCGTAATAAGAAAGCCTCGAAGCTAATAAGGTTTGCAAGGGCATGAAGAAGCACCATATTGTAAAAAAACAACTTCTTTGCTGTGAAAGTTGCTTGACAATTATCATACAACTCCCAGTTGCCAAGTCAAATAAGACATGCTCGCAATAAAGAGTTTTCCAATTTTTCCATTTAGCTGACTATGTTTTGGGAGCGGACGATTTCATCTCGTGAACCTAGGTTAGGCTCATCTTCTGAAGGCAGTGTGGAATAATGGTATTGGTCCACCTAGGTTTATAAAAATAATATTGAATACGCATTCACCATAATTTATAACTAGTTTTCATAAATTTAGTAAAAACGTAAGAAATCTTAAAGTTATCTTAATAGGTAACTAAAAACATGTCACTTAGACGAAAAAAAAAAGTACACGAATTTTTCCAACATCGTTTTTATTTTTTCTTGAATTTCCCTTGATTTGGTTTCTAAACCTGTTTTGCTAACATCATTTTTTGATTGATTTTGGTTGGGAGAAGGCTTGACTATAATTTCAGAAAAACCTCTTCAGTGGGCTTATCCATTTTTACGGTGTTGGCTTCCTTTGAACGGATTTTAATGTCAAAATCTTACAGAGGTTTATTTTTGTCACTCTATTTCTTCAACCGTTGCGTGTCGCTCAACGACGAATTCACCTTTTTTTTGACATTTCGATTGCAAGTTGTAGTGGGTATTATATTTCACTGCCTGGGAAGTGCATGAAAAGTCCTATAAACTGATAAAAGCCTCACGTTATTATTTTTATTCTTCATAAGGTTATGAGTGAAAATAGACCTTTTTAAGTTATAACGTTGAGATGGATTAAGCAAGGCATTGAAGCCATATGTGTTGTATCAAATGAATTATTTAAATAGTTTTTCAATAGGTCAACCATGTGGAGTCATTTTGTTTTTTTCACAATGGCCGTTAGAGGGCGTAGTTTTCATCCAAAGATACGTTTTTTGCAAATATGATGTCATTTAAATGGGAGCCTTCCTGAAACTTCCCTTACACACCACCAATGATCCTGTCACGCCAAGCGTAGAGCGCTGGCCAGAAGGGGCAAATGTACCGGAAAATAATGACGGATCGAGTCTGTCTGTTGCTTATAACAGCTAATACTGCCCCCGTTTATTAATTCTCCTCCTCCATTCCAAGAGAGAGAAGTTTCGGTCGAGCCAGCATCTGAATCGCAAGGAGTTGTTCATTAATAATACTCCCTCTCGGTCTCACCTCTGTTCGCATCACAAACACACCACTATCTGAAGAACACGCCAGACTGCATGTGGTGGTAATGGTGAATGGTCGGAGAGGGTGACATATTGTTAGGATCTTTTCATATCCAACCCAAACCATTTCGAAAATCCCTGACAATTTGTAGTGCAAGGGTGCTCAGTCACTAATATCTGTCCGTGAAGCAACTGGGGAAAATATAGAGATCATAGATTCTGTTTTCTCGAAGGACAAAGGGTGAAAAACGTAACAAAAATTTGTCTAAGCGCCTATCTTATTTCAAGTTACAAACTATTATTTTAATAACGATCGTTTCTTCTTGGGATCCAGATAGTAAATGCGACTTGGCCGATTTGTCGAGCTTTTTGAGCGAAAGTGAGACTGGTGACAAGTCAAGTGATGCAAACATGGTAGCGTATTCTCAATCTACTATCAATATTATATTTTTTTCTGCAATCGCTATTCATATTTCCTAATTGCTACTGCTATAATACATGAAGAACTTGCTAGTGTTGAGTAAAATAATTTCAAACATATCAAAATTATATTATATCTAAGTAAAGACCCACATGGTTTTATACCTCTTGTCTGCTTAGAATGCATACGCAATAAAGGTAAATAGTAGTTTTATTATTTTGAACACGTTGCAAAAATGCCGTGCCTGGATTCGTGCTCAATTTCAAGAAATTTAGTTGGTTAATACGTAAATATTTCAGTACCTCCTAACTTTGTCAAATCTTTGTTAGAGATAGACATCTGTTGTTCTTATTTTTGCAGTGAACTATGCAAAACATTCAACCATTCAAAATTTAAAAAAACATTCTCAAGAGGACTCAAAAGCTGACATTGGGTTACATTAAGCAGTAAATGAAAATTATGCAAGCTTGAT